GGCCATAATTATACTGGATAGTAGAGAAATGATTATGATTTTTTTTTTTTTTTTTTTAGGTTTATGTGGCAGCATTCTCAATTTCTGGTTATGCTTGGGCATCTTGGAGAAATCGCTATAAACCGTTCAACCCTGTTCTTGGAGAAACCTATGAAAATCACCGGGAAGACAGGGGATTCCATTACATCAGTGAACAGGTAATATCAAAAGAAGTCATATGAGATTCATATTTAAAGAAGATGTGAAAAAAGTGTTTTATATACCTCGGCAGGTTAGCCACCATCCACCCATCTCAGCCTGTCATGCAGAGTCAGAAAATTTTACTTTCTGGCAAGGTAGGAACTTATTTATTGTATAGCTGAATATAACTGGCATAGAGAGTTAACAACTGTTTCTGTTCATAGATCAGAGGTGGAAAAACAAGTTTTGGGGAAAGTCGGTGGAGATAATCTCAACTGGATTGGTCAACGTTTCCCTGCCAAGGTGAGTCCCTGCCACTCTGATATACAAAAAAGAAATAGCCAGATGTAATATCTTCATTTGAGCCCACACTTCTATTGCTTACATGCATGTTCAATCAGCTTCAAGTGGCCCATGTTTTATGCATGGTGGTTTTGCCATAAAAGGATAAAGCAAACACACCTACATAAGTAGAGTTTTCTCTACACTTTTGCTGACCTGGAGGTCATGAAAACTTNGTGGTTTTGCCATAAAAGGATAAAGAAAACACACCTACATAAGTAGAGTTTTCTCTGCACTTTTGCTGACCTGGAGGTCATGAAAACTTACCCTTGTGTTGTGGCTGTATTTGTTTATCAAATCGAGGCCTAATTCCAAACAAGCCCCGAATACTAACCATGAGCACTAACCCTCTGTCTGCGTATTTCAACGGAGGTTTTCGCCACATTAGGTACTACCCCAAACCACATAGTGGGTAGGGGGAGTGGACTGTCCAGCCCTCAAATAGTGAGTCTGGATCAGTGCTGCCTGGCTGGAATTTGGCAGCAGGTGTAACAGCAACTTATTGGTGGAGGAATAAGGTTCTTCCAAATTCTGCGCTGACAGAATCACAACTTGGGTATATGAAAGAGTGTAGTTAATTCCAAAAAGGAAGGTCCTCTTTGAAATAGTTTTATCTGAACATGTACATTTGTTCTGAGAAAGAGGCAAATGTTTGTGTTTTATGTCATCCTGCGCCACAGAGCTACAGCAACAAACACGGGATGTCCCTGTGTTGCCAGAACAATGGTTATGGGGGGCCGTTTGTAAAGTTAAGCAGTCAAAAATTAGGAGCAATATTTATGATTTAGTGTGTTTTAGGAGGAAAAATAAGGGGGTGCCAGCTAAATATTTAGCTATTATGCAAATGTACTTCCCAAAAAGCAGAGGTGAACTACCAAAGTAAAAGCTTGGGAATCTATATTACAATACATGTCTTGGCCTCGCTAAGAGTTAGCTATCCAAGCAGCTAAACAGATACTCAGCAACTCCACAAAAGCAGATTCTTTGTTGTGAATTTACTGAATCTTTACTTTGTGAAAAGACGTTGCTTGAACAAGCATGGAAAGAAACTGTAACACATTAGGAGTGGAAGATGAAGGCAGCTGTCTCTGCTGCAGACAGGCTCAAACTGACTCCTGTAACACATCCTCTAACAACTTCCTGTCTAGCTGGATGTCAAAATAAAGGCCTCTAAAAATCGATTTTTATAATACGAATCAGAATAACAAGTAGTTACATTAGTCTTACTAAAAATGTAAGCCAATGAAAGTAGCATAAAAGAAAAATATAAAACAACAATATACACTAATATTTCCATAGCTGCGACTGGGACTTCATTGGGAGTGACCCTCGGTCAAGGATTAGTAATAAGGGGCTGGTTTGTGTTTCAGCCTGAGTCGCTGTGAAGAGAAAGCATTAGCTAACTTTTTTCCATCTTGATTTCATTCACTACCAAACCATGAATGTCATGTAGACATCACAAAAATATTTGAGTAAAATAACAAAATCAATTCTGTGTATGTAGGTATGGGGATCACTACGAATGGNCTGTGTATGTAGGTATGGGGATCACTACGAATGGAATAAGGCAGTGACCTGCATCCACAATGTACTGAGCCAACAACGCTGGTTGGAGCATTATGGCGAGGTGGTCATCAGAAATACAAAAAGTGACGTGTGCACCTGCAAGATGACCTTTGTCAAGGCAAGATATGATCATGGATGCATATTTTATTTTTCATTTTAATTTATTTTTGACTTGAGTGTTACAAATCAAATTTTTTGTTTTGATTTTCTTTTTTAGTCTCGCTATTGGAGCTCGGAGAACAGTAAGAACGAGATTCAGGGTGTTGTTTTGGACAAGGCTGGAGAGGTGGTCCATCGTTTTGGAGGCTTCTGGCATGAAGGCATCTTCTGCGACACCATGACTACACCAACCTGCATCTGGAAGCCCAGTGAGCAAATATTTTTTTTCTTTTTTTTGCATTAAGTTTTTACTGAAAGGAAAAGTCCAGTCAACAAGAAATAAACAATAGGTCACTATTTATACATAAAACTAATACGTTTGCAGTGTTTAATAAATTTAGCATTAATCAGTAAAAAATATGAATAATTTTCGTTGCAATTAGAGTCCAGGAGCGGCCATTTTTGCCCAAATATAGTACCTCACTCCTGCCATCTTCCGGCAGTGACGTCACGGTGCGGTAAGCCTAGCGCCATTCTCCCCGCTTTACAAGC